ATTTTGGCAGCCACACTTTCTAACTGCTGGGGGCTAATTTTGCCAAAATTTCTGGTCTTAAGCGCCTGACAAATATCCATACCTTGGTCTCACATTTGGGGTTTCCATCAGGGTCCGTGAGGGTCCCCCCATATAACACGGGGATCTCTGCAGGGTCAATATATTTGTGTAAGTCTTCTTTCCAATTTGCTAGGGAGAAGTAAGAAGGACACTGTTTTCAATAGATACTCGTTCGTGGCTGTTGTGTGCTCCAAACCCCCTTCCTGGAATTGCACTGGAGCGTTGCACAGCCCGGTTGTCTACCGGCCCTAATAAATTAATAATAATTTCTTTAAAACCTCCACGAGTCTGTGGGCTAGAAGCCTAGGTGTTTTTCAACAAAATAAAATTGAAATATATTGCACATAAAAGAGCTGTAAATGAAAAAGGCACACCTCAAACATTAAAGTAAATGAATTAAAATAGATACAAAATAAAAGAACATGTGGAGCCTGTTAGATCTCTGATGATTTGCAGTAATGGAAGGAATGTGGACTCTCAGTTATTTACATGCAGAAACAAACTCAGTAACTTAAAGCACGTGTGTGTGAACGCAGCCATCAGGTCAACCCTGCATAGAACAGATCATGTGTTCGATTTGCATCCAATTTCAGAAGGACGGCAGAAACTCAGAGAAAACTCCAACATGGATGGGACTGAACCAGAAGGTCAGGACCCAACTCTGTGTTAAATATAATTTAGCATGTTTAATTAAACCGCATGCCTCAATGAAACTTTGAACATTTACAAAATCATAATGAAGAACCAAAACACACCTAAAAAAATTCAGAAGTTTGGGAATACACAAAGGGACCTTTGAATCAGCTGATCAGGAGGAAATGTGGATCTATCAAAAGGGACGTCTGGCATCACATTGAAGGAGTTTTGCATCTCCAGTCCAAAAAGGAGAATTTTGGTAACAGCTGCGTGTTTAATTGGTTTTGCCTTCCCTTTTGTTCTGGGCTGCGCTTGACCAACCCTTTTTTTCCTGCTAGAAATCAAAGATTCACAACAATGCCCCCTACCTCCCAAGACAATTAACTTCTTGCGAGTATCTTCACTCAGAAGGTGCTTCACCAGGTTGTAAGCTACAGGGAACAGTTTTGGTGCTGTATTGTCGGCAGGAAAAACAAATCAGCAGTAAGTCAAGGGGTAAGGGGATGTCTTTCCCCCCCAAAAAATAAAAAACAAAAAAATACATGCCCCCACAGAGAGGGATTGAGACTCACCTTTAATAACAAATAAATGTTTAAGGCACTCAGGATAGTTCGCTTCGAACATGGCAAGAAGCTGGAAGGATGCAGAAAGAATCAAACAAAAGAAAACTGCAAAACTTTATAGCCGTGTTTCTCAGCCGTTGCCACTTTAAGATAGGTGGACTTCAACTCCCAGAATTTACGTCTTAAAGAAGTCCACACGTCTTAAACTTGCCAAGGTCAAAAACACAACTCTAGGTCAAACAAGGGGGGAAATTCTCAGTGCACGACCCGCAAGCCTCTTTGCCCATCTCACCTCTCTGTAGACGTCAACGGCTGGCTTCCAGAGATGCCTCAAACCCAGCCCTTCAAAATCATAAATCATCACAGCAGCTTCAACTGTTTTCCCCAGCTTGAGAAAAGGGGAGTGGGGGGAAGAGAGAGAGATGGGGAGAAAAATTAAAGCAATGAT